ATGGGGAGAGAGATCCTGTCTCTCAAGTGGGAAAAAGAAAGGAATAAAAGAAGGAAAGCCAGCCTTGAAATCAGCGTATGGACGTGGTTTACTTCAGTCCACAGGCGGGAGTAGTGGAGCTTTGTGCACAACGAAATTATCAAGTGACACTTGTTCTGTGGTTGACAATAGACTAACTCTGTAGGACGTTCCCAAATAGTGCAGAAATATTCTGATAATCACAGCAAAATACATCTAGCTATGGAGAGATTGTGAAACCATAGTTTGCCAGAAGTTTTCAAGTTCAGAAGTCATAACGACATTGAAATGGTTCAAATAATTTTTAGCCAGGGATGACATCGCATGCCCATTAGCTCAACACTTGGGAGGCAGAGGCAGGAGGATCACAGCAAGTTCAAGGCCAGCCAGTGCTACATAACAAGACCCTATCTCAAAACACCAGAAACAAAACCATGCGTACCACGTCCACTCTCTGGCTGAGAGCTTTCCCGTGTGATTTCTCAGTACTGGGCATGGATTTCAGGCAGGCGTCCTATCACCGAGGGCCTCCAGCCCTTCCCTGTGCAGCCCTTTTACACATACATCTACTTCTTGTTATTTTACATTTGTTCATTTAGTGTTGGGACGTGTTTTATGAGTGTGTGTGGGGGTGTGGAGTGTGTATATGTATATATGTGTTTGTATAGTATGTTCGGTGTGTGGTGTATATGGGATATTTGTTGTATGTATGGTATAAGTGTTGTGGGTGGTGTATATGTGTGTGTGTGTGTGGTGTCTATGGTATGTATGGTTTATGTGTTATATGTATGGAATATGTGCTGTGGGTAGTGTGTATGTGTGTGGTGTTTATGGTGTGTTTGGTGTGTGCTGTGTATGGTATATGTGTTGTGGGAGGTGTATATGTGTGTGTGTGTGGTTGGTGTATATATGTGTGTTGGTGTCTATGGTGTGTTTGGTGTGTGCATGGTATATGTGTTGTGAATGATATAAGGGGGTGGTGTGTATATGTATCTGTTTATGTATGTGTACATGTGTGTACTTAGTCAGAAGCCAGTTTGCAGCTGTTGGTTCTCTTTTCCACCATTTGGGTCCCATCCCTGGAACGCAGGTTGTCAAACTTGGCTGCAGGCAGCTTTGCTCAGTGAGCCGCATTGCCAGCCCGTCTGTGTGCTCATAAAGTCACTGCTGTAGTGCTTTCCAGAAGGATCGTTTAGGGGGCACGCTGAACCCTTAGCTATACACACACACACACACACACACACACACACACACACACACAAACCCACAAATACGCTGGAGAGCTTCAAGATCTAGGGAACTTCACTCTGGCTTTGCCCTAAGCTATTTTCGAAAGCAAAAGGACATAAGATTTTAGTTTGCTTTCTAAGGCTGTGATTCAACACCATGACCAATGCTGTGTGGGAAGGGAAAAGTTCACTGGGCTTACACTTCCACATTACAGAGCATTCCCAACACAAGCCGAGGCAGGAATAGGGAAGTCAGAGCGGAAGGCCATGGAGGAACACTGCTTACTGGCTTGCCCTCCATGGCTTGTTCAGCCTGCTTTCATATAAAACCCCAGACCATCTGCCCAGAGGTCTCACCACCAAGAGCGGGCTGAGGCTTCCCACATGAATCACTAAGAAAATGCTCTACAGGCCAATCTCATGGGGCGTGGAGCATTTTCTCAGTTATAGGTTCTGTTATCCCAGATGCGAGACAGGGTTTCTCTGGGTAACCCTGGCTGTCCTGGAACTCGCTCTCTAGACCAGGCTGGCCTCAAACTCATAGAACTCTGCCTGCCTTTGCCAGCCTGGTCTACAAGAGCTAGTTCCAGGATAGGCTCCAAAGCTACAGAGAAGCCCTATCCCGAAAGCAAGATCTTCCTATGTTGCTGAGTCTGGCCTGGTTCTTAAGGAAGTCATCCTGCCTCTGCCTCTTGAGTGCTGAAATTACACACATGAACCACTATTGCCAGATTACACATAAACTTTGATATAATACTTGTTATGCCCAGCATGGTGGCACAGTCTTTCAATCCCAGCATTTAGGAGGCAGAGGGAAGCAGATCTCTGAGTTCCATGTAGTCCTGGTCTACAGAATAAGTCCAGGAATGTAAAGACTACATAGAGAAACTCTGTCTCAAAAAAAAAAAAGACTTGTTATAAAACAAATATTGTAGAAAAACCATCTAATTCCCATATGGCTTAAAGTACAAATTCATACCTCTTTACCACCACTAGGGGGCAACAAATTCAGTCCTGTCCAACCCTACTCGTGCCTGGAAGGCGAGAAGCTGGAAAAGCTTCTTTGGGGTTACTCACAGAATCGTGACTACATATAAGAACTCCTCATTTTTCTGTCTTCGTATATGCATATGCCACCCACTGTTGTAGGAGGCCACTTGTTTGTTTCCCTGGCCACCCAGACTCCCGAAATAATCACGCAGAAACTGTATTATTTGCAGTATTGTTTGGCCAGTAGATTAAGTGTATTTCTGGCTAACTCATATCTTAAATGAACCCATCTCCAGTAACCTGTGTATTGCCACAAGGCTGTGGCTTATCAGGTAAAGCATTTGCCTCTGGCTAGGCTACATGGCTTCTCCTGACTCCGCCTTCTTTCTCCAGCATTCAGTTTAGTTTTCCCCGCCTACCTATATTCTGCCCTGCACAGGCCTAAGACAGTTTCTTTATTATCTGATGGTGTTCACAGCATACAGAAGGACTGAGCCCAGGGCCTGATGTATGCGAGGCGACCACTACATCACTGAACTACTTGCCCCAGCCACGTTCCTCTATGTATTTAAGTTTTATTTTTATTTGTATTTTATGTATGTATTTTGCCTGCATATATGTAAGTGCACTGTTTGCATTCAGTGTCTGTGGAAACCAAAGGTGGGGGAGGGTCAGATCCCCTGGAACTGTACCTGGAGTTACAGGTAACTATGAGTGCTCGGAATCAAACCTGGGCCTCTGGACTAGCAAGAAGAGCCTTAACTACTGAGCCATCTCTCCAGAGACCAAAGGTAAACCTTTCTAAACTCGATTCAATTCCTATGTTGGTTAATTTTATTTTATGTTTTTCATATGTGAACCAGGGTCTCACCTTGGAGTTCAGGAGGCTTCAATTCACACAGACAACCTACAGGAGAAATATCTGCTACTTAAGGACCCACAATACCCCGTTCGCCACGTTATTTCTTTAAGATTTATTTATTTATTACATATATAATATGCATGTCTGCCTTCAGGCCAGAAGAGGACGCCAGATCTCATTGCAGATGGTTGTGAGCCATTATATGGATGCTGGGATTTGAACCCAGGTCCTCTGGAAGAACAGCCAGTGCTCTTAACCACTAAGCCATCTCTCCAGCCCCCATTTACCACATTTACCATAAGAGTTTAGAAAATTTTCTGCCTGGGCCACAGAGTTATACAGATTTGTGGTCTCAGGCCACAGTGTTGCCAACAACCTCACCCTCTTCTGGCATCCTATCGACTCTAAGGGCTGCAACAAGGCCCATCTTATTTGCCAGGGAAGCATCTACAAAGGCAAAGGGTCTTTCTCCCAGTGAGCTAACAGCTCCTCAAACTCCAGCCCAGTTATTCTTTATCTACTAGGAACCATCCTCCAAATGCCATCCTATGCATTCACTTAAAGGGAAATACACTTGCAGTAATGCAGTTCATTTAAGACCAAAGTGCCACTTGGGAGGCAGAGGCAGGTGGATCTCTGTGAGTTCGAGGCCAGCCTGGTCTACAAGAGCTAGTTCCAGGACAAGCTCCAAAGCTACAGAGAAACCCTGTCTCGAAAAACCAAAAAAAAACCAAAAAAAAAAAAAAAGACCAAAGTGCTAGGGTCTGTAGGTCAGGTGCTTCCAGGGTGTGTTGGGGGGGGGGAAGATGAAAGGTGGAGCTGGTGACCTGGGGCAGTCCCTGGAGAACACGTTGTTATCATTTTACAACACGCTGCGAAGTCACACCACACGATAGCGAAGGGAACAGGAAAAGGAGTGAGGGGAGGAAGGAGACCAGCCTCTGGGGACAGGAGAGTCAAAAGAGAAAGAGAGAGAGAGAGAGAGACAGAGAGACAGAGAGACAGAGAGAGAGAGAGACAGAGAGGCAGGCAGAGAAGCAGAGACATGCAGAGAGAGATGGGAGGTGACCAAGGTCCACCTTTTTAAAGGGCTTTTTAAGTGGCTGCAACTGAGGACATATTCTGTCAGGACCCCAGGGGCAGCCAGTGCAGTTGCCTGATTACTAACACATGTGACTAGATTAGGAGATGGACGGTTCTGGTCCAGCGAAATGGAAAGAGAAACAGTCACTCTTCTCACCACAAGAGGATCTCCAAAGGAATGGATGCCAGTCAAGAGTAGAGTCCGAGCTGGTGGCTCGGGTCTGTAATCTTACCACCTGGGAGGTAAAGGAAGGCAGATCCCTATGAGTTCAAGGTCAGCCTGGTCTGCAGAGTGAGTTCTAGGATAGCCAGAGCTACACAGAGAAACCCTTTCTCAAAATAAACAAACATATGAACAAAAACATTAGCAAGAAATATTCAAACTCAGAGCTGAAATCAGTTTTGAAATAGAAACAACAAAACCCAAAGAATCAATACAAAGAAGAGGTAGTTCTTTGAGAAAATCAGTAAGATTGATAAAATCTTAGTCAAATCAACTAAAAGACAGCAAAGATCTAAATAAAATTAGAGATGAAAGGGAACATCACAGCAGACAAGAAGGAAATAGAGAATCATAAGGACATACTTTAAAAATCTGTACTCCAGGCTGGGTGATGGTGGCACACACCTTTAATCCTAGCACTGTGACTGAGTTCTGGGCCAGCCTGATCTATAGAGAGAGTTCCAGGGCTATGCAGGGAAACCCTGCCTTGAGAAAAACAACAAAACCAAAAAAAAGGGTGTACTCCACCAAACTTAAAAATCTGAAAGAAGCCCGCTTTGCAGACGCCACTGTCCCCTCTCGCCGCTTGCTGCAGCCATGGTCAACCCCACCGTGTTCTGTGTTCTTCGACATCGCGGCCGATGGCGAGCCCTTGGGCCACGTCTCCTTCGAGCTGTTTGCAGACAAAGTTCCAAAGACAGCAGAAAACTTTCGTGCTCTGAGCACTGGAGGGAAAGGATTTGGATATAAGGGTTCTTCCTTTCACAGGATTATTCCAGGATTCATGTGCCAGGGTGGTGACTTCACACGCCATAATGGCACTGGCGGCAGATCCATCTACGGAGAAAAATTTGAGGATAAGAACTTCATCCTGAAGCATACAGGTCCTGGCATCTTGTCCATGGCAAATGCTGGACCAAACACAAACAGTTCCCTGTTTTTTATCTGCACCACCAAGACTGAGTGGCTGGATGGCAAATATGTGGTCTTTGGGAAGGTGAAAGAAGGCATGAACATTGTGGAGGCCATGGAGCGTTTTGGGTCCAGGAATGGCAAGACCAGCAAGAAGATCACCATTTCCGACTGTGGACAACTCTAATTCTTTTGACTTGCGGGCTTCTTACCCACCAGACCATTCCTTCTGTAGCTCAGGAGAGCACTCCAGTCCCCATCTGCTCGCAGTACCCTGTAATCTCTGCTCTCACTGAAGTTCTTTGGGTTCCATATTTTCCTCATTCCCCTTCAAGTCTAGCTGGATTGCAGAGTTAAGTTTATGATTATGAATAAAAACTAAGTAAGAAAAAAATCTGAAAGAAATGGATGAATTTTTTGATATATATTACCTACTGTATAAACAATGGCATAAGTGTTCCACAGTGTGGTTAAAGGTGAAGGGTTTTTTGTTTTTGTTGTTGTTGTTATTGTTTTGTTTTCTTTTTTTAAATATTTATTTATTTATTATGTATACAGTGTTCTGTCTGTGTGTATGTCTGCAGGCCAGAAATGGGCACCAGACCTTATTACAGATTGTTATTACAGGTGGTTGTGAGCCACCATGTGGTTGCCGGGAATTGAACTCAGGACCTTTGGAAGAGCAGGCAATGCTCTTAACCACTGAGCCATCTCTCCAGCCCTATTGTTTTGTTTTCTGAGACAGGGTTTCTCTGTGTATTCCTGGCTGTCTTGGAACTCGCTCTATAGACCAGGTTGACCTCAAACTCACAGAGATCCACCCTGCCTCCACCTCAGAGTGCTGGGCACCACTGTGTGCGCCACCGCACCCTGACAAGGGGAAGGCTTTATTGTAGATATGAGAGAGAACAGTCAGAGGCATCTAGAAGAGTCCAGAGCAGAGAGAGAAAAAAGTAGACTGAACATAACCAGCAGATCAGACATGGCCAGGGCTCTCTGCATAAAAGGGGAGGGAGGACAGAGAAAACACGGTAAGAGAAAAGGAGCAAATGAGAGAGGGGGAGGGAGGGAGGGAGGGAGGGAGGGAGGGAGGGAGGGAGGGAGAGAGAGAGCGCGCGCACACATAGCAAGAATAGCAGGGTTATAAGAAGGATGCATAGCTAGGCAGAGGGAAGCTGGGCAGAGCTTAGGGATGTGCTGATAGATGCCACAGGTGGCCGTGTGTCTCTTCTGCCAGAGGTAAGAGAAATGACTCCTTTGGGTAGACAGGATTCTGTTTCACAAGTTCTTGAGGAATACTGGCTTGTATCTTACCACCAGAAATCCTCTTGTAGCCTAGGTTGACCCCATTTCTCGATCTTTGGACTGCCTTTTTAGGTGGTGGTACAGACCTAAAAAAGACCCGGGTTCTTTTCTGAGGTTTGGCCAGCCCTACCCGAAGTGGAGTGACTCGCAGATCCTGAACACGATTTTTTCTTAAGGAAAGGTCTTACATAGCCCATGCTGGCCTCGATCTTGCCATGTAGATGCCTCAGCCTCCCAAGGGCTGGGGTTGTTGGTATGAGGTGTTCTGTTTGCCTGTGGTTTTAACATCAGCACCTTGACTGGGCCTAACCTACTGCTATTTCGGTCAGCAAGCGTGACACCACCGTTACCAGCCTGCTTCTGTGGCAGCGGCCCAGTCACTCACGCTACAGCCTGGCAGGAATTCTGTTCCCACAGGCATCCGCCCTGTTGTTGCCACTAAAGGTAGCTTTAACTAAATCTCTGTCATTCTATTTATAAATAAGACTTGAACTTCAAAAGCTGGGGGGAAAACCTGTTAGCTCAGAGAGACGGGGTAGTAACAAGCTAACTTCTCTTGCTGGCATCTCTGGAAAAAGTGTCCTTCTGTTCTGTCCCAAACAAAAAAGCAGAGCCACTCTAAATCCCTCCCTACTACTTCCTGTGTCTCTCATCTCTCAAATGCCCTCTGATGCTCTGATGTGGGACTCCCCCCTGTATGCTGTGAATATGTTTTATTACCATTGTAATAAAGAAGCAAGGCAGGAATTCCAAGCAGAGATAGATAGAGGAGAAAAGAAGGCAGAGTCAGAGCTGCCATGTAGCTGTGGAAGGAGACAGACACCCCGGAACCTTACCGGTAAACCACGAGCCTTCTGGAAAAATACAAAATAATAGGAATGGATTAATTAAGATGTAAGAGTCAATTAGTAAGAAGCCTGAGATAATAGGCCAAGCACTGTTTTAATTAATAATGTTTCTGTGTGATTGGTTTGGGTCTGGGCAGCCGGGAAACAAACAAGCAGCCTCCATTTATAATGCTCTATAACTACTTTCTGTCAGCTAGTTGCTAACTTAGCCTCCTGACCCAAGGTTAATTTTATTTAACCAATACTAATACAAACTCGGGGCTGACAATGATTGAACAGCAGCCCCACCACTTGCCCAAACACATTCTTCACAGAAGATTCAGCTCTGCCTGGTGGAGCTGATCTTGACTGTGCTCAGGTCTGCTAACCTGGTGACGTCTCCTCTTTACCATTCTTCCCTGTAGTCGTGCACTACACAGGTGCTGCGCCACTGTGTTACACCCCAACCAGTTTTATTTATTTAATTTATTATTTATGTTGGTGGAGAGAGAGAGAGAGGTTTGAGACCGGGGGCTCCTGCAAGCCCTGGCTTGCCTTGAACTAGCCATGTAGCCAAAGCTAGCCTTGAACTCCTAATCCCACCTCTACCTTCCAAGTGCCAGCATTGCAGGTGTGCGCCACCAGGACCAGCCTATTCTATTTCATTTTCCTGTCGTCTGTATCATTGTGTACTGACCATGCCCTTGACCACTGAGCCAGCTCCCCAGTCCAGAAGTGGAACAAAGGAATTGAGGATCATCTACGGAATGCTTTTTGCTTTGCTTTTTTTTTTTTTCTGGCAGTGACAATCATCAACTTTCTTTGTTATTGTTTTTATTCTTTGTTTTCTTTTATTTGTTTGTGGTTATTCTCTGAAGTCAGTTCAGAAGTAAATAAATAAGTGACCTGGAACCTTTTTCTTGAAAGAAACCATCTCTCTTATCAGGAAATGTAATATCAAGAGCTCGGCTTCAGAATGCCTCTGTTTTCCCCAGTGCTGAAAGGTCTCTCTATCCTCCAGGCACCTTGAGAAGCCGCATAGCACAAATACCGAGCTGTATCTGATGTAATAGGGCACCTTTTACCAACATCTTCAGTCAAGAAAGTCACTTTTGGAGTTGGTTCACTTGTGTTCCCTTAACTGACCCTCGAGTCCACGTAGAATCTCCTATGTATCTCCTTAACTCAGGAGTAAGAGATGTGTTGTAAAGCTCAGAGCACATGCTTGCCTAGAGCACAGACCACTGAAAGACCCATTTCTACACACACACACACACACACACACACACACACACACACACACACACATACACACAGTCAAGATGTCAGCTTTCCTATGCTCTTTGCAGTCTAGGTATTGTCACCAGAAAGGATTTCCCTTCCCTGGCTTCTAGCGCCATCTGTCAGTTTGTCTTATTCCGAAATTGTATGTGAGTAGCCAACTATGATGGCTTACCTCTGTGATTTCAACCCTCAGGAAGCCGAGGCAAGAAAGCTGCGGCCAGTTTGAGGTCATTTGAAGCTACACAGTAAGATTCTGTCTTAAAAAAATAAATAGAGCCAGGCTGTGCTCCTTTAATCCCAGCACGTGGGAGTTACACACAGGGGGTTTTCTGTGAGTTCTAGGCCAGCCTGGTCTACAAAGTGAGCTCCAGGACAGGCAGGGATACACACAGCGAAACCCTTTCTTGAAAAACAAAAACAAACAGGGCTGGAGAGATGGATCAGCTTAAGAGCACTGCCTGCTCTTCCAAAGGTCTGGAGTTCAACTCCCAGTCACTACATGGTAGCTCACAACCATCAGTAGTGAGATCTGGTGCCCTCTTCTGGCCTGCAGGCATACATGCAAGCAGAATGCTGTATACATAATAAATAAATCTTTTTAAATGATAAAAAATAAAATAAATAAATAAAAAAAAGATGGCTGGAGACATGACTCAGGGGTTAAGAATTAATGCTTGCTCATCCAGAGAACCCAGTTCAATTCCCAGTACCTACAGGGTTGCTCACAAACATCTTGTAACTCCAGGTCTAAAGTAGTCTGATGCCCTCTTCTGGACTCTGTGGGTACTGCACACACATTGTGCACAGACATTTATGCAGATAAAAGACAAACATAATAATAATAATAATAATAATAATAATAATAATAATAATAAATATGTTTTAAAACAAAGTTCTTGGGAAATGGCTTGATTGGCAAAATGGTTGCCTTACACTTGGAAAGTCCTGAGTCCTATCTCCAGTACCAGATAAAATAGGTGTGATGGGTTGGGTGGTGGCACTCGCCTTTAAACCCAGCACTTGGGGGGCAGAGGCAGGCAGTTCTCTATGACTTTGAGGCCAGCCTGGTTTACAGAGTGAGTTTCAGGACAGGCAGGGCTGCACAGAGAACCAGGGCTGCACAGGGACCAGCCCGGACCTAAATTATTTCTCATTCCTGAGTGGAGGTGTGGGAATAAAGACACAACTCACATGACTTTATCGGGAGGGAGCTTTTAAGGATCCTTCATGAAATCCTGGATTCACAGCCTGAAAATCGCCCACATTTATTCTCCAAACAGCTTTTATAACAAAACATAAACTGAGGGGGAAGTTCATTAGCGTTCTGTCTCCTAGGTAGCGGGGAGAATGACTGTGGTCACGTCCACACTTTAAGCTTCTGCCTGCTCTGTCAGGTAGACTGAAAACACCTCTTGCCCCTCCTAAATTACAACAGAAGGAGCAGAACGGCATTAGCATATCCTGCCTCTTTGCTTAGGATGACGTCAGGCGGTCTCACTATCAAAAACCAGGCGACCACCCTCTGTGTGGAAGGTGCAAACTGTGCCTTGCCAGGTCACTCAGAATTCTGGCCTCCATACACTGTAGAAATATGGGCCTGTATAATCTGGCCCCTGTACTCCTCCACAAAAATCTTTGTTTTTCTCTGTTAGGAGCTGAGTCCCGTACCTCACACACCCGGCTGTTCTTTGTGAAGACGGGGTCTCACTCTGTCTACTTCAGCCTTCACAGTGCTGGGATCGCACCTGGGCCCCACCATGCCCAGCGCCTTACGTCTCTTAAAACGCTTCTAATGATAAGCTGTACGCCAAGAGGCTGAGTGGTTTTCCCAAGTCATCTAAAGAGCGAACAACAGTACTGAGAGTCTACCACCCTAGCACAGAGGTCATCAGAATGTTCCAGCCAGGCTGCTCAGTCCTCTCCAGCAGGCCCAAGTCTGTGATCCCTTTGTTAGGATGGAATCGAATTCCCT